AAATTTATGTAAATTTGTTGACGCTGCGGCGGAGTTTTCGCCTAAACGATTAACGATTTTATTATGTTAGTGTTTTGAGATTATTTATTTGCTTCTCCCGTACCGTTTATTGTACTATTTTCATATTAAAAAACGAATGTGTGTAAGTACGCACGTAAGAAGTTATACTTCTCTAATATAAAGGCATTAAATGCAATTCATTTCTATTTATGATAACTTGGAATTATTGGTAAATTTTTCCAAACGCGCCAAAAGAAGTACAACTTCAGTAAAGATGGTTTCAGACAATTATGGTTTGATAATTCAACCGTATTAATTGTCGTTGCTTATGAATGTGATGATTTAATGTTTGTCAACATCTATCCTATCTTTGTTTATTTATCATTACCGCGTGTAGTTAATCAGATAAGGACGTCATCCGTACAAAAGCATTTATTGCATGAATAATTGTTTCATTGACGAAAATGGTATAATAGTGCTTATTGTATGTGGTATGTTATGGGTCTATATCTTCTATTTTATATTTTGAGTTTTTTATTGGAAATGTATGCGTCATTTACACATTTATTATGTATTAGGTTTGGTTTTTTGATACTGATATCGGATGGTCAGTTTGTGATATACTCTCACTATGTACGATACTTATTTACTCAGAGAGGTTGAATAAGAACTAAACGTGTAATGCACGTTTAGTTCTTTTCTTCTTCTAGTTTCTAATTCTTACTCCTATGGAATAACATTATGGCTTTTTTTTCAATTTCCTTTTTCACATTAGCCTTACTGTGGAATAGCATTGTCCTGTGTTTTTATGGAGTTGGCATACTAAAAATTTCATACAGAGAAAGACTCGGATCTGGAACAATTATTGATGGGTCACACAAGTATTTGTCCAGTGTGGGAATCGAAGCAAAGACCCGCGGAGCCGAAGCCAATATGCTTAAGCGTTTCGTCTGGTTAGTGAGGTAGCCGGGGCGCACTTTATTAAAAGGTACCGCATTTGCAACCTTACGGGTTGCAATTCCGATCAGCGGTTATCACTTAAGACCAGGTGAACCGTATGGTCGCTTGCCATCTTCTCACGTTAAAAAAAATATCAATTCCTTAGAAATTAATTCAACCAATTTTAATTCTTTACTTTGATGTTTTAATAATCACACCGGCACCCCAATCATTATTTAATTAGCATGGTTAAAGTGGTTATTGTGGAAGCTGCACGTCGCTTTGATCTATTTGTCAGGTAGTTGACAGCATTAGTTTTGCTGCTTAAATTTTATATTGCGGTGGTAGGGCCACGAAGCTGCCTCGGCTGTTGCACGAATGGGCAGGCCCGTCCGGGTAAGTACCACGACCTCACATACACACTTTCGCGTTTCGTCTGGTGAGTGAAGTAGCCCGAGCCCAATTTTCAAAAGGTTGTCAACGCATCTGTAACCCTCGGGTGTGGCAGATGTCCATGGGCGGCGGTATTCACTTAACATCAGGTGAACCGTCGGCTCGTTTGACAACTTTTCGCAGAAAAAAAAATGTGATTATGTAAAAGTGTGTTAATGCCAGCACCCATTGAATATAATTCTTTGTTTTTCAAGTGTGAAGATAAGAATCCAAACACTACAAACAGATTTCGTTTCTCTGTGAATGGATGGTTAACGGGTAGGCAATTAGCGTGTCATTAGCGCCTGAGATACAATAGATGTTTGATGTTATTAGAAAATTTGCCCTCTTCCTTGTATCTTCATTACCCAAACGATATCATAGGGTAAATAATAGCTCTTTTTAACGATGAACGAAGTTTTGCACCCCCGTTCATAATGCGGAAAATATAAAGAAGCTACAAATGAAAGGAATAATAATAAAAAGCAAGACGTCAAGGCCAGTGAATCCGGCTTTACCTGAGGTAGTGTGTTTACCCCTTAAACTTTATCACTGCTCACTTTTAGGTACGGTACAGGAAAAGCACTAGAAACCGGTAATCACTAAATAGTATAAAACAAAGTTGTCTGTCTGTCTGTCCCTATGTATGCTTAGATCGTTAAACTACGCTACGGATCTTGATGCGGTTTTTTTTTACTAGACAGAGTGATTCAAGAGGAAGGCTTATATGTATAATACATTGCACCCGTGCGAAGCCGGGGCGGGTCACTAGTCCAATATATAAAATTCTCGTGTCACGATGTTTGTAATTGAACTCTTCGGAAACGGCTCGACCGATTTTTGTGTGCATATCGGCCAGGGTGGAGAATCGGACAACATCTATATTTCATCCCCCTAAATGTTAATGGTGGTCCACCCCAAATATTTTTTTCTACCCTAAAAATTGCTTAGTAATCCTACTTATATTATAAAGGCGAAAGTTTGTATGTTTGGATGGATGTTTGTTTAATTTTTTCACGCAAATACCTGAATTGATTTTAATGTAACTTTACAATAATATAGCTTAAGCATCAGAATATGACATAGGCTATAATTTATATACACATTTTATGTATATCTGTCTTTCTGTCTAAATGTTACGCATTCAGCCTATTCTACGCAGACGTAGTCGCGGGCAGCAGCTAGTAATTTATACGGCAAGACACCGTTTGTCGGGTGAGCTAGTTAATAAATAAAACTTACAAAAAAAAATTTGCCGTGTAAAGTGTAACCTATGTGATTGCTATGTGATTGTAATCTAGCAGTTGGATCATGTATTCCGATCTAAAAAAAAGTAATCGAATCCTGGCAACGTGTCTCGTTCATTTTTTTTAATCTGTGAGCCATGTTTGTGACGGAAGACGGGCCGGCATTATTCCCGACCGCAGCCACCCGACATGGCACCCCGCGGCTTTGTGCTGACACCGAAACGCGACGTGCGAATGCAGTTTTTGAGTGCATTTCCATGTGTGGCAGTCGACGCGCAATGCCGGTAGAACGCCAGCGTGCAGAGTTCGGTGATTGTAATTTTAAAATATTCCAGAATATTCTATGGCTGCGACGAGCGAGCAGGTCGTTCAACGGATAAATGTTTACCACCCATGCACTTTTCACATTGTGGGATTGCAGTTTTCTTGCCAACCTTATAGTGGAAGCCGGATTCTCGATGAAATGTAAAAGCATAAGTACTTCTGTATTACGACGATCTCTATTAGCCAACCCAACCAGAAGATTCTGCGAACGATGTACGGTTGTATGTATAGTTGACAGTTAATTTAAATTAGAAATGTAATATTTAAATACCTGTAGTAAATCAATAAACCGCGTATCTAATAAAATATAAAACCTTTTCTTGTTCACAAAGATGCTAAATTAATTTTGCTCATTAATTTAAATGGTACCGAGCAACATATAAATAATTTCCTTCTTTGCAACACAATTGAGAAATATACGAGTAACTAGTTGCAAAGATGCTAAATTAGTTTCGGTCATTAATTTTTCAATTGATGTTCATCGAAATTCAAACCATTCAATGTGGTTTCTCGCCTCTAAATTTGTATTGTGTCTCGATATTTAATTCAGGAGGCGCTTGGCTCATTCAATACCTCCCTATTCCGAAATGTGACCACATCCTTCCTGGGTATAGCCACTGCAGTGCTTCCTACGTATTCCTTTGAGTTTCGGGCTTCGGAAGCAGCTGCAAGCGACTTAGCGACTTCACCTGTCGACGCTCTGTTCCGGCGCCAGAAGGTGAGCTATTGCTAAACGGATGTTCCCACGCAAATAGTCCCCCTCAGCACTCTCAATACGATACGTGAAAAAGTTCGTGTAAAAAATTCTATGTAGAGTTTTTAAACGCTCCGGATACGATCTTGAGTTTGAATCGTTTCATCGGATAGTGCGTGTAAAAAATGTAAATTTAATCTTTAAATTTTACAAAGGCACGAATATGTTTTGGGAAAAATAATTCAGTTGACATCCGGCGATAACACCAACGAGAGATGTCTGAAAAATCTATATAACAATATTTAAATAAAAGTAAAAGTAATAATTTTTATTTTAATACTTATTTAATTTTATTTTATAAAATAAGTTAAAAATAGAGTTAAATTATAAAATTTGTAAAGCGGATTATGTCCCTACTATATCTTTTTTAATTATTTATAACTCACTAGGAATATTTCGAAATTTTAAATGTTTATTGACAAAGATGAACGTCAGTGTGTGATTTTAATATATTTTCTAAACAGAAAACTCGACTATATAAATTTATTTACTACTCTCATAAGAATATGACGAACAGATATTTTATCTTTTGTCATAGATTAACTTCAAATTATAAAAACTATTTATCTCGCTGTCGCATTAAACTGCCAACTATTAATAAAATAAATAATAAATTCCTTTTATTCTTTCGAGAACTAAGAGCGAAAAATTTGTAAACTTTTTGTTGTATTCTTCGCGGTTACGTTCACCTGTCCCTTTTTCTTTTATCAGGAAGCTGCGATTTGTTATTCGTCCTTATCTTTCTTATACCGATAAAACTCCGAAGAAAGAGACGGCATTCACAAATGTTCGCGGTGCAAGCATGTGGCACGCGCTACTCCATTCGGTATTCGAGCGTTGAATAGGGTGCACGTCAGGAGTTCTCTACATTTCTCTAATTTCACGCTTCGATCGTGTTTTGACAGTTCCGGAATATTTTTTGCGCTAAAAAATAAGTGCTTCGATAGTGTTTTATGTCTTTGCGAATATTCCTGCCGTAATTTATCGTTACACAAAGTTAAAACTAACATTCGCCAGTATTTTGGTGTTGACTGTGAAAAATCACGAGCCTTAAAGCCTCGACTGAATAAAGGCGTCAAGTGAAAGTTACAATTTAATCGTTTTACTAACAAACGACTGCTATATTCCCGAGTCGGTGAATCGATGTACAAATCGAAGAGTTTTCCACCGTGAAATATAATTGGGAAACTTTCCACCGCTCTGTGAAGGAACGCAGCTGGGCGACCCGAAAATTGTGATAATAAAAATAAACGATTCCCGCGAGAGGACTTATCTTCGGAGTCCGCTCTGATTATGATAAATTACGACTGCGCCAGGATGCGATTTGGAAAGCGTTGAAGTACTCGCATAAGCCGTTGTACTTCTTCGATCTTTATGAGGGAGAGAAGATCGTTACCCATAAGCGGCGAGGTGGCGTTGAAGAATGACAAGGAGGGCAGTGCCAGAGGCCTGGTTGTGAACTCGGTGCTGTGCGGTGTCGTTGATGAATTGTCGAACAGTAGGACCGGCAGGCGCGGGTCGTGGGTTCGCCACGCTGTGATGGGGGTCCTCAGGTGGAAGGATATAACGGGAGTGAGGACGAGCACTCCAACGGAGCAAAAAGAGGTAGGTGTGTAAGGCAACGGGTTCATTCTAACCTTGGTATCGCAAACTAATGGAAAAACTTTCCTATATCCCTAACTTTAAAACGACCCTTCTTTGCATTCGAGTACATAATTCATGTTTAATTTATGTTAAGTATAAGCATGACCACTATGAAGTTTCGAGTTCGCTTTACGCTCGATGTTTAAGTGGAAAGTTGCACTTCTTGAACTTAAGTGCTGATTTATAAAGTAGTAATTAGCCCACAAATCTGTTTATTTGAGCAACTTTAATCTTGAATGTGATGACAAAATGAAAAAAGAGCATTTTTTCCCGCGAAACGATCCTGCAGTTTGAACGGATGAATAACGACATTTTAATTACGAAAGACGTTAACATTAAGACCGTACAAGTTCATTGTCAAGTAAAACCGGTAGGTGGTTAAGTATCGGGTAGGTATTGCCTAATGAACTTTTTTATGCGCTGACAAGAAGCTTTACATTTAGCATTAATTTTTCTGCTATCATTTAATCACACATTTTAGGAAAAATTAAATAATAACAAAATATTCACTATAATGATTAACAATTCTACATATTTCTTTAATTCGCCAAAGTAAGTTTATTGCACTTTTCAACCGACTTCAAAAAGGTGGAGGTTCTCAATTTCATTGTATTTTTTATGTTTGTTACTTCAGAACTTTCGACTGAGTGAACGGATTTTGATGATTTTTTATTTGAAAGCTGGTGCTTCCTTGTGGTCCCATATTAATTTCATTGGTATTGGATCTCGGGCTCCGGAGATATTTAGGGAACTCCTGAAAATCAATTATAAAATGAATACAGATATTTGAAGACAGTTTTGTTTTTAGTTAATAAAAAATGTAGTTTTTATTATTTGAGTCAAAGTTATACTTACTTACTTAAGCTCTAAATATGGGAATTGGGAGAAGCGAGACGAAAAGATCACAACGCAACATAACAGTTTTATTAATATTTTTATTGGCAGATTCGTAATCTAACATATTTGTGTGTCAAATCAAAGTTATGGTCTCAAACTTGGTGACTTATACTTTTTTAATTCACGCAAAACCTTCACATTTACAAACCGTTACACAATACAAGGATTAGTCGTGTAAAAATGATTTTAATTACCTGATATCTGGAATACCTTTTATAATAGAGTTGTGGCAGCTAAGTGTTAGCACGCTGGCTTTAAACTCATTATACGGGAGCAACTAGATTTGGCATTAGAGAAATTGTTACTAATTCCATATAAAAATAATTGGTGAAAAGATCGAAGAAAATACGGCTGAACCATACTCTCTGCACAGATAAGTCCTTGCTTAGACGTGGTAGTTAAAGGGGAATAAAAATTGCTGTTAATAGCTGAAGGTCCCTGAAACAGACAGCGTGAACGGTTCTTAGGACACTAAGGCAATCTCTTGCAATGATTTGAACTCGGAAGCATTTTACCAGTTATACAGGTCATTTTAGATATCGTGATGTACCGTTAAATGATGACAATGTTGCTTGTCGCTCTATAACCGTGCCTATAATGAATGAATCACGCGTGTTATGTAAACGTGAGTAACTGAGGTTTTTTGGCTCCCGTTTGGCCGACGCTTTCCGAATGGCTTCTCTGCCAAATATCTGTAAATTATTAATTCGTCCGGATTGCTCTGTGAGTCTGTGACCCATTTAATTGTGAAAGGATTTTGTTACGTAGCTATTTCTACTTTTGAATTTGGAACTGCAACTTTTATAGCGTCGCTCTTATAGAGTTTGAATTTTTCATTTGGATTTTTCTTCCGTACGATTGCATCATATCATGAAGGTTTCACTGACTTCTTGTGAAAAAAATATATTCTTCAGGGACTTGTTTAGATTGTTTAATCTTTTTTAGCTCGCTGAAACATTTCCATGGACCCTATTATCGGTAAAGCTGATAATACTGATACTAGGTACACTCTTAAAAATAACTGATTAATTTATTTAATAAGGTTAATATTTTCGAAGTAAATAATGCTTTGTAGTAACATAATATAAGATCACGTTCAGTGTAGCTTTGAATCTTTTTAATTACTACCTGTAAAAGTCGTAAAGTAGGTTTGCTACAAATATTCCTTGATATAGATTCATTATTCCGAGAATGTATAAAAATTTAAAAATAATGTAAGAATACTGTTTAATTATCCTTTGATAACATCGGCTTCAGTTATATTCGATTCTTATCTTATATCTTTATTCCATTCTCTGTTTTGTAACCTATTGACTAATATTGGTTACGCATAGTAAAGAAATCATAGTCATAATTTGGTCACTTTCACATCGTGGTCCTTATTTAGACTAGTAGATTTTACGGTCCCACGCTTGTATGTGGGATACGTTCCTTATATGAGCAACTGAGATTTTTTTTTTTTCATTAAGTTGAATCGATAAATAAAGGTTTTATTTTTGGATTCAACATAATGAAAAAAAATCTCGAAAAATAAAGGTTTTCTTTCTAAAATTCGGTGTGTCTGCTGATGAGAATGTGTCATACGTAAGTGACGACATAAATTTATGTAACATACATATTACCTTATTACTTAGTTTGGAGAAGAAAACATGCCCAGGTGAACATGTGTGTACATCGACTTTAACCTGGGAAGATTACGAGCCTTATTGTCGTGGGACGTTAAAAGAAATGAATGTGGTAGGGCCACACAACAGCTTCTGTTGTTGCACGAATAGCACGGGGCAGTCTGGAGAAGTACCATGGCCTCACAGAGGACCGGCGTGAAGTGGAAGTAGTAAACTTTTGCGTTTCGTCTAGTGAGTGAGTTAACCGGGTCCCACTTCTTTCCCAGATGAACAGACAGACAGCGGAGTAATAGTGTCCCGTTTTACCCTTTGGGTACGGAACCTTAAAGATCAATAAAACTTCGCAGCGGAATTCATGCAGTATCATGATTTCCATTGTGTTGGAAGTTATGAATTTTTAGCGACGGTTGCAATAAATTTATTTCGCGGCTGTCACTTCTTAATTGCGTATTTGCGACATAACAATGCTCAAGTGACCTGAACTTTGTCGGGGACCGGAGCTAGTCAAGGTTAATGTATAAAAAGGTGACATTAAAACGCTGTCTACCCTAATAAACACTCAAGGGGCCGGCTTTGAAACCTCTGAGGGTAGCGCGAAAACGCCCTTTTTACTCGGTAATATGCTCTTTCTAATACACTAATATAGTGCTTCTTTATTTTCTCATACTTTCTATTGCGTATAAAATAATGGGGATGTTACAATAATGGTCTACTTAAATTTTCATTACAAAATTAAACATCAACCGATTTGTACTAATGTATGTATACGTTAAAACTGAGTTTAAGTATTCATATAGACATGTACAATATGATTAAGAAGACGTAGGCAACATAAAAGCATTTTGTAAAATTATTTTTTACTTAAAATTTAATAATGTACATTTAAATGTAAATCGATTTCATTGCCTTCTAGAGACTTCTAATGACCAAGTCCAGACCTAATCGAACGTTTTCTAATTAAATAGATAATAAAGTATATACTTTATTATTTATAGTGTATATATATATTTTGACTTCCGGCAACCTAAGATTTACTTCCTGAATTAAGACTTGATTCTAGTTTAGAACTCAGACTTATTTTCATTTCTTATGCGGATGCAATGAAATGCGTTTTATCCCTGCATTATCATCATCATCATCATCATTTCAGCCTGTTTCAGTTCACTGCTGGACCTAAGACTTGATCTGTTTATCCCTTTGAGCGTGAAAATTACGCGGAAAATCTATAATGTTTTCGCTCGTTTTGTTTAATGCATTTCTAATGCAATATTCGTATTTATTAAGGTAAATTTATATCACGTTTAATATCCTTACAAATTCATGAACTTTTCTTTAAAATCAATAAAATATATTGAAAATATAAAACAATGCTATCCGTAAAATATGGGAAGATTTTCTACCGTTTATTTTCTAGATATTTCAAACTTAGAATTAAATTAAGCAAAGCTTGAAACAAGCCATATTTGGACAAAGAGATATTTAATTTCATTCCAAGGAGCAAATGCAACATTTTATGTTATCACACAAACCCATAAACTGTCTAAAGTTGCGGAAGATCAGTATTCTAGGTGTTGCAACGCGTTGCAGCATCCCACTCGTGAAATCTACGGCCGGGGGACAAAGGCCACGGCGAAAATCGTGCCGACTCTCTGCGTATATCGTCGCGAACATATCTCACTCCAATTACTCCGACGGCGGATATTACTAGGGCTGTCGTTTGTTCGCTCCACCGTTCGCTATTTGCATTTTTCCGCTCCCTTGTATGTGCATCGTGTATAAGGCGTGCAGTGGCCAAATTTTGCATAGTTGTGATCTTTTTATCATTGTGTATTTTGACTGACTTGTAATCAGAAGCCTACGCGGAGTGTTCTAGTGTATAAAATAATTGATGCTTCCTCGCGAGCTAACGGCAGGTAAGGTAATGTAAGTTGTAGCTATGTACAGGGCCTGCATTTAGTTTTACTTTCGTGTGATGAGCGAGGTAACCTGGACCCCCTTTCTTAAAGGGTTATCAACACGGCTGGAATTCCACCGGTGTTGTGGATAATCAGCGATAATCTTAATATCTAATGAGCGACCTACTGATTTGCTCACTTATTTTATAAAATAAATACAAAACCTAGAACTTTGAGGACACAATAATTGTATTTAATTTTTGAAGTGAAAACTTCATTAGTCGCGTTGAGCGCTTTTCGTGTGAACAAAAATCATGGAACTAACCTAACGCTCTCGATGAGTTATTTAAAAAAAAGGAATAGGTACGCAAAAATATATTTGTAGTTATGGATATGATATAAATACTGTTGTATTATCGTTCGAAGTGCCTATAAAGTATGTAGTAATAAATATTATACAATTTTAATTTTTGATATTGTTTTATGTTTTCACTTCTGTTGGCATTCCTCATCGACTGCCTATGATTATGTTATGCTCCTTCTCTACTATTCTCGACCTGCCTCCTGTTT